GTTGCGATTGTGGGTATCAAAATTTTTGATCCTGCGTCTTATATATACATATTACAGGATATATATACACACACACACACACCACATTCTATCCTTTGTTTAACTATTTTTTAAAGATAATTTTCACAATAAATCAAGAAAATTTAAAGAAAAATTGTATAATAAGGTCGATGTTTTATTTTTAATTAATAAAATTTTGACAAGATAATACCTCAATAAAATTACAGTATGTATATATATGTGAAGGGTGTTGTTTCAGTTGGGTTCGTTGGTTATTTCAGAAGCGAAGAATTTAGGGTAGCCAAATGTTGCTGCATGGGACCGCAAGCAGTATTCTATTTGTAGCACTTGTCCATTCATGCAAATATATATTATTTATATATATATATATATATATAAAGACAGTTTTAGAATTATATATATAATCTAATTAATTGAATTTGAATTAATTATTTGCCTACAAATACCCTTTTCTCTATACACTTCTTCTCACCACACAGAACTCAGTACTCTCTTTCTTTCTATCTCTAGTTGCTTCAGTCAGTCGTGATTTTCTTTTTTTCTTCTTTTCCTGGTTAATTTTCCGTCAGAAATAGATAGGCAAAATGGTTGAAGAAAGGAGTAAGTTAAGCACGACGGTGATGATTTTCTCTCTTCTCCTAATGCTGGTTATTTTGCTCGGAGAAAACCATGTAAAATTTTCTTACTTGAGACTTAATATTGTATATATATGTAGGTATATGCTCGTTCGAGTATTAATTGATGAATATATATATATGTGTGTATACGTTTACAGGCTGCAGCAAGCATAATTGAAACACCAAGTCCAACTCCACAGCCACAACCCATTAACAACACTTCTCCAATGGTGATAATTTTAACATTACAGTATTTTCTTAGTTTTAAGTTTTCCAAATTAAATTCCAAACATCAAACCACATTTAATTTCTTAATCTTTTCCTCCCTTTTCTTTTAATCATCCAGTATGGCACAACTCAGGGTAGTCTTCAACCTCAAGGTAACTCCGGGTTCTAATATTTTTCATTTATATAGCGTAAACCTTTTGTTTTTTAAGACATAAGGAGGGATAGAATTTGAAATTGAGCCATCAACTCTAATTGAATTATATAATTTGAGTTAAATACTTTTTATGTATACATGTTTGTGTGTGTGTGTTTTCGTGCAATGGGTATGTGTTAATTTCTACGTACTTGTGTATATATGTGTGTATGTATACATTGGTGCAATGGATATGTGTTGCAGAGTGTGGAGGGCGGTGTAGCACAAGGTGCTCAAAGACAAGATTCAAGAAGCCATGCATGTTCTTCTGTCAAAAGTGCTGTGCCAAATGCCTGTGTGTGCCTCCAGGAACCTACGGGAACAAGCAACTCTGCCCTTGCTACAACAATTGGAAGACCAAGCGAGGAGGACCCAAGTGCCCTTAACTTATTTCCCCTTTAATTAATTTTAATTAATTTTACTTAATTACCCTCTAATCACTCCACTTGTATTTATAATTACATCATTATATTTGCAATGGTTATTATTATTTTGTTATTGTTCGTAATTTAATTCAATGATATTCTATTTTAATTCAATTATTACAACATTTTAATTATTTAATAATTATTCAGACTCATGCCTAACCCGATTCTGGATGGGCTGGGCCGGGCCTTGAATATGAAAAAGCTAGCCCATAAAGACCCAAATTAAGCTGAGCCGGGCCAATTACTTCCATTAAAAAACACAAAATAGATCTGGAAATATAATAATAAAATAAAATTAAAAATTAAGCTGAAAAAAGGGTATTAATATTATTAAAGTGTTTTTGAACTAATTTACAGAAATGCCACAGCTCTAAGCCTTTATATATGGCGAACTGAAGCTTCAAAAGAGAAATCTTATTGAACTTCTTATGGCTATTATTGCCTCGCCCTCACCCCACCACATATTACAACCACCTGTACACATATTACCCATCCTTCCTGCTCTCAGACCTTCACTCCTATCCTCTGAGCAACCTGCATCAGGAAAACAAATAGCTTACTGGAAAGAAACGATCGTCGATAAATTTACTATTACATTCTTATCGGAATTCCTCAACAGTCTCCAAAGGAAAACCCGAACCATGCATTCACCAAACAGATGATCAAGGATCAATAGATGCTATATGCAGAAACACTGTAACCCCATCTAATTAAACATGTTTCTTTTCACACTCTATGGATCCTGGTGAGCCAAGACTGATTACTGTGATCGATATAGAGGAATGCCATCAAATCTTTAAATTTACAATGCCCCAGAATTAAGACAGACGTTTAAATGGATTTCTTGACTACCATTCTATGTTAATTTCGTTATATTTGAAAATTTTATCATATTGTTGTACCTCCTTGAAGGAGTAGACATCACTTCCCCAGAGCCAAGCGTCGCAGCCTGCATCTCTGGCACCCCACAGATCATTCCTACGATCATCGCCAACATGCACTGCATCCTCAGGTTGTACACCTAATAAGTCACAAGCTTTCAAGAATATCATTGGGTTCGGTTTCTCTGCTTCAACCTGGGAAAAATTGGACAGGAAAAGGGGCTAATATCAGAAGATAGGACTGGCAAGCCATTAGTTGAATCATCATAAAAGCTACTTAAATGAAACAAATTCTTGATATCCCAACCAAGTTTATTCAGAAGAATGTTCCCAGTCCCAACAATAGAAATATTCGGGGGCTTAATATACATATGACCCCCAATTTTAAGTATAGTGGCCATGAATCAATGTGATATAGAAAGGAAGGCCTAGGATGAAAATATTC